TAGGGACCTGGTAGAGAGTGCCGTGAGGGGAAAGGACATTTGAAGCAGGCAGGTTGCCCTGGGAAACTTGGCTCAACACCCAATAAGTTTCAAAGTACAGTTTCGACCACACTCTCTGTCTGCTCCCCTAAAACTGTGACATACCCTTGCACCAGGTGTGCCTCGTTGAGTCCAGTGAAGTGAAGGGGAAAAATAAGTGCAAAAGGGAGAATGAAAGATTCAGTGAAGAATTTTAATGAAGCAGGTGGGTAAGATACTGATCTGGACAGGCATGCCGCTTTGCAATTGAAAGCACGATTTCCATATGGCAGTTCTGGGAAACTGATTAAATGACTTCAACAGCAACAACACGACTGTTGCTCAGATGAATGGTACATTGATTTGTGCTACTCAGATAAGCGATTTCCGTAATTCATTTAAAGGAATTTATAACACTAAGAAATAGAGGAAAATATTAACCGAACTCTCTGATTGGGAGTGGAGAAAGGGGTATCCTATCGAGAAGAGGACTCCCAGAGGTCCTTCGTGCCACCTGACAGAAGAGCCTGCCGGGCTTTTCCCAAGTTGGCTTTCACTGTGGGATGATGGAGTCTTCCAGGACTTTTCTTAGGATCGCCTTGGTGTCCTCAGCAACTATCTCAAGTAAACACCTTTGTTTCTTTCGTCTAAAGTAGTGGATGGTGAGATTACCTAACCATGGGATACATCTAAGTAAACCAAGGAATGCCCTGAAGACTGTACAAGTCATACAAGTCAGTTTCCAATTCCTCGTGCTGAGACCTTGCACATCACAGGACTTCGTGATGTTCGTGTAGTCTGCGAATGTCCTCCCCACTCTCTGTGCCACCTGCCAGAGAGATTCATCGTCCACACCAAACAGCAATTGGTAGGCTTTCAGACATGCGGCCAAGTCATCTGCATCCGAGATGCCACAGGCATCCTGGAGAGACTCTGTGGCTATTTTCTTCTGCAGGAAGGACACTTTCTCATTAACGTCCCTCTCACACGTATGGGACAGGTTTTGAAGGAGCTCATGGTGCCTATTTTTCATGAGATCAATTTGCAATGAGTCTCTCAGCTTTGGGAAGTCATACGATAAAGGATCAAAGCTGGAGACAAGGAAAATAGGGGGTTCACACACCGCTGCTTCTGGAGATTTTCCAGAATATTTTCCCTGATAATCTGCCGCAGCTGCCCTTTTGGGAGGGCACTTTGTGGATCCTGTCAGCTGGTCAGCAATGTAGAAACTGTTTTCCCATGTCCTCCACTGTTTTGGCAAGCATCACGTGATTCATTCTGACTGTTCGACGCGATGATGAGAGAAGTCATATCGGCTGAACGATTTCGTCGCATAGTTCTCAGCTTTGGCGGCGGACTGTCGGCAGGTCCACAGCACACATGTGGTGAGTGGGGAGATAGATGCGGCATGTGTTTTGGTAGTTTTTGCCCGACAGAGCTGAGGCCCTCCTCATGTCTATGTTCCGAAGCGCTTGTGAAGCTGACATGCCATTCGCCGGAGCTCCCTGTCACAGCCAATTGACTGGTGTCTGGGACACCTCTTCCAGCTCCCTGACGCAGAGACCAGCTCCGGCAGTTCCCACATGCTATGGCTTTCTCAATGCTCAGGTCTACCTTGGATAACACTCCGTCCTTTAACGTGGCAGCCAGCGTTAAGTGCAGATACGGGTGTGAGGACGGGGATCTGTCACACAGTTGAGCGTGGAGGACCCTGCAGAGAGAGAGCGAGTGAGTTAGAGGGTCATCAGGTCTCTGCTCACATCTCCGCTCAGGGTTTTTCTTCAACGACGCCACAGAAAAGATCAGCTGTATTAACATCAAATCAAGCAAAGTGCTCCTTCCAAGAACGTGTGCTTTCTTCAGCAGTGGCAAGCGAGGCCCTGAAGACGCCTGGGCCTGTTTGCCCAGTAGTCAGCTCCAAACAGGAACGGGTCGGAGAACTTGAGTAGCAGAAGAACCCAGTCTCCCAGATGGCCACAAGGGGATTTGGTCCTTTTCTATATCTACACTGACTAGGTCTGTTGCTTCACATCTTCAGCGCATAATTTATTGGCCAGCGAGACCGACAGGCAAGTAAATCACCTATACACTGATCAAGATTAAAAGTCTGCGCACCAAGGACATACGTGAGAATAGACCACCTACGAATTGTGTCTGCCGTCACAATAGGGCTGCTACGTTATAAAGAACTCACGGAACGCAGGAAAATCAACCCCTTAAAAATGGGCAAGAGACTAAACAAAGTTTAAAAGAGCAACTATGGCCAAACAAATACGAAAAGTGCTCACATCTTCTTAATATACGGAATGATAAACCACAGAGAGATATCACTTTACTCCAGTGAGAATGGCTTTTGTCAAAAAGTCCCAAAACAACAAATGCTGGTGTGGATGCAGAGAGATAGGAACACTCATATACTGTTGGTGGGACTGAAAACTAGTACAACCTCTCTGGACAAGACTAGGGAGATACCTCAAAGAAGGAAAAGTAGAACTACCATTTGATCCAGCAATACCACTACTGGGTATCTACTCAAAGGAAAAAAAGACATTCTGTGGAAAAGACACCTGCACTAGAATGTTTATAGCAGCACCATTCGTAATTGCAAAGATGTGGAAACAACCCAAGTGCCCATCAATACAGGAGTGGATTATTAAAATGTCGTATATGTATACCATGGAGTCCTACTCAGCCATAAAACAATGGTGAACTCATAACTCTTGTTTTAACCTGGGTGGAACTGGAGACCATTCTTCTAAGTGAAGTATCACAAGAATAGAAAAACAAACACCACATGTACTCCCCATCGCTTGGAAATAATCAATCAACACGTATGTGCACATGTGGAAATAACGTTCATCGGAAATCAAGCAGGTTGTGGGGGAGGAGGGGATGGGTAAATTCATACCTAACGGCTACAATGCCCACTATCTGGGGGATGGGCACACTTGTACCTTTGACTCAAACAGCACAAAGGTAATTTATGCAACCAAAACGTTTGTACCTCCGTAATATTCTGAAATAAAAAAATAGATAAGTATATATAAAAAGTTTTTTTTAAGTCACCTATATATTTCTCTACTGTAGGTGGCACCAGAGGACATAAAACATCCGATTCCGATTGGCTGTTTGAAGTCATGGTCTGTTCCTGTTTCACATTTAACCTCCTCCCGCAGGAGGGCTCACTTGAAAAACGATATTGAAATGCTGCAAAACATAGGAAGTAAGCCGCCTTCTTTTGACCTTCCCTGAGCTTCCACTAGTATTGTCATACTGGGCCCAGCTGGGGTGAGGGGGGAGCGAGTCTTCTCAAATGTTCTGCTCTTCAGGGCAGCGATGCAGCAATTGGTCCTCATTGCAA